AGGTACCTGAATCTCTCCTGAGATTTTATTAAGTGTTATGTCATGTGATCTTCTAGATCATTTGCCTCCTTTATTATGATCATTTTGATCATTTGCTCATCTTCTTTATCAAGAAGTTTATTTGAAACCGATTTGTCTATATGCTTTAAGCGTACCATAGACTTTGTCCTTCTAGGACTTATTCTAATAGGAGCATTTGCAATGAGAATATAGTTACTTTCTTTGGGTCAGCAAATGCGTTTGGCATGCTTTGCAATATATTGCAAATGAATTATCCTTTTATGAACTTCAAGTTCATATTATTTTATTCGGGGATCTAGATGTATAAATGATAATTCATTCCATGTAACTTTTTCTCAACTGTTGTATCTTGTCTCCCCCTCATGTTAGAAAAACTAACTTGTTTCCTCAACTTTGAGAACCCATCTTTGTGCATTATGGTGTTAATCAAAATATACACCGCACATCAATAATAATGAGATAGAATTATTTGGTTCCTGACCCTGAAACCACTTGTGAGGGGAGAATGTAATATACTTTCGTATATAACCTATATCAAACTGATATACAAAGCTTTGTTCTCATAAGCAATTGTTTAGCTATTAAGTGGAGGCACTCAATAAATCATTTTGCTAAACCAGCTGTGATGTAGACCAACTTATCAAGATGAACTTCTTGAATAGAAAATCTGGAATATGCTCTAAATTAAATTATTGAGCAAGTTACCTCGCAAATACCATGTTGCGGGTTAATAATAATCGCACATGTAACCATCTCATAGATGCATCTTATGTGGTATACATGGCAGGTGAATGGGCCCATATTCACCTTTGATATTTCCAGCATTCATGGGATTCAATCCCAATTTTAGTTGATCTATTAATTAATGAGAACAAGCAATATAAGAGAATTTGTAAAGAACTTTCTAGTTCTTTAATATTTACCCATGTGAATTCTCTATTATTTTTGCACATCATACATGAATTAACATGGCTAAACCAAGTATGCCAACTGGATAAATTATCAATATTGATAAACTTCAGGTTTACACCATGATGTGTGCAATTATGAATAAACTCTAAGTTTATTATGATAAGGGTTTTTATATCAATAAATATCCACTTCATTATGGTATTCTTTTGTTTATGTAGTACAAATTGAAGAATAAAGCGGGTAGCTTTTCACATACATATTACCCCGCTACAAGATGTAGTAATAGAAGATATTAAATCTTTCCTTTATTTATAGTCTCAATATAATCAACCGCTTTCGCGTATACTTTGAAAACTGAATAAGTTTCTTTGAGACTTACTACAACACAATACCTTATTGGTAATTAATTGTGTTTCTCCAAAATAGTATAATTGGCTCTTGCGGAGTTCTCAATTAATTTTGTAGTACCACATATTCATCAACACCCATATGGTGAATATCTCTTTTAAAGAGAAAGTTATACCATTATGGTTATGGTCAAAATTATATGCAAGATCTGTTTCTTGCATTACCGTTTGACTTTTAATAATCACAATGCCAAAATATTTTGGCGTACAATAGGTACGTGACCAATGACCATTCATGCCATAATAATGATATTATTTTCTTATATCATCTCAAACCTCCTTCTAGAGGTGAGTGTCGTATATACCACTAGCACGCTCATATTCTTCCAAAAATGGATATGTATTCTTAAATCAGATGTTGTCACATTCACATCATGAATAGACCATAATCATCTATATGTGCTTTATAAAATCTCATGTCAAATCGATGACAAGTATTTTCACAAGTGGGGGATTATTTTGAGAATCCTTATTATTCTCATTATCACAATGATGACGATTATAATTTCGTCTATTGCCACGTCCACATCCATTGATACATTCATAGTGATAATTTTGTCTTCTTTCAGACTTATCACATACTGCTATCACATTCTCTTAAGGGAATGAGAATGGAGCAAATTCAATGGGACGGGTTTCCACTTTTTGTGCCCATAATCATACATGAATTTGATCATGGCAAGACATAGAAAACTTTTACCACTTCAGGTGGTTATAATTTTTTACAAACTCCATTAGAGTTATGATCAAACTTTGTTGTCTTTGCTTGTATTTAAAATCAAAGTATAGAATAAAAGAGAAAAATACGGTAAAATACTTATCTTAAATCCAGAATTTAATCATGAAGGAAGTTCATGGAATAATTGACAATTATTATGCTCAATCCCAAAGCTTCTACTCAATTGGTTAGAGTGTCGTGCTGATAACGTGTTATAAAACAATAAAAGAAGAAGAATAGTAGTGCAGAGAAAAGTAGAGGGAGAGAATTCCTATTGATTTGGGATCAATTACTATGGAATAGAACCCTCTATTTATAGGGAGAGGGTGACTTAGCCACCAAGTAATAAACCCTAGAATCTCTCTAAATATAGACATTCACCATAAATAAAATTCTATTTATAACATATTTTATTTTCTTCTTACTTTTTCTTAAGGACCTATTTGGCCTGAGTATCAGTGTAGATCATGTTTAAATATTGATCATGTAAAACCCATAGTAATTTAAAGGAAGCTTTATACCAAAACAGAGGGAAAAATAGGAACAAAGAGAAAATAAAGGTAAAAGAACAGTAGAAGAAAGGGGATTAGGAACTGAACAGATAATATGTAGGTAGTCTTAGATCTATGCAAATCAGAACATGCATGTATAGAATGGGAAGAAAAACAATATTTATAGGCACGCAAGAAGAAGATACGAACAGGACAGGACGACCAAATTGACACCTAATTTCAGCCAAAAGAAACACTTTTTGTGAGGTTGTCTTCCTGGAACCATTTTCTTATGAATGAAATACCAATATGTGAAGGCAACAACCTATCCGTGCTGAGGTCCTACAAATTTGTAAGGGTCGAATTCCTGATGCTGACATAATTCGAAAGATGAAATGGGTACTTAATAATTATAAAGGTTAATTTCATAAATTAATATTGAACTAACAGACTGTTTGGGCGATTGGTCGAACTTCCAAAACCAGCTTTAGCTTGAAATATGTTTTTGTCAGAATACTTTTCGAAAAAGTTATTTTTGGAGAGTAGTACTTTGTGTTTGGCTAGTCAATTTTGTTTGAATAATAGAATTATCAATATTAAAGTAGTAACTTGTGCTTGGCCAAGGTCTCAGAAGTGCTCGTAGAGTAAAGCTGCTTCTTTCAGCTTCTCATAAATAATTATTTTCCCCCCTAACAGCTTAGCCAAACACCTGAAGTCTCTAAAATAAGCTTCTTTTTTTCTGTCAAAAGCTTGGCAACACTTCAACTTCGGAAAAAAACACCTTTTTTGAAAGAAAAAAAGTGTTGTTAGGATTGGAGAAGCTTGGCCAAACAGGCTATTAGAAGCAGTTTTTAAAAGCTTGGCCAAACACTAATTGCTGTTCAAAAGTGCTTTTTAAATAAATTAGACAAACACAAACTGTTTTCAAAAAAGTGCTTTTAGGATTGGAGAAGCTTGGCCAAACAGGATAGTAGAAGCAGTTTTTAAAAGCTTGACCAAACACTAATTGCTGTCAGAAGTACTTTTCAAATAAATTAGCTAAACCCAAACTACTTCTTACCAACAATACTTTTGGAAAAAACACTTTTGAGAAAAAACACTCTCAAAATAAGCTGATTTTTGCAGCTTGACCAGATAGGCTATAAGTCACACAGTTCATAGCTTCTGCATCTAATAAAATTTCTAATTGTTATATTATTGTGTCTATTACAATAAACCACTTAAATTTCTACAAAACTTTTCGATTTTGTTTTACTCTTTCACTAAGATATTTCCAAGGGAAAATGGCAAATAGTCCACATTTTAGATAAAATATTTGTATACCTTTATATGAATCATTAAGAATTTCTTATAGATCATAGGCTATCCAGCAGGTGACAGTTTTTCAATTTATATGGTTTATGTTGTCTTTGATTGAATCATAGCAAATTGAAATTATCTCGATTCATTGTTAAACCTCTTGAAGCTTATGAAGTACTCGACAAATTGAAGATGTTGTTCTTAAAGTGCTCAAGTGCAAGGATAATTAGACCTCTTAACTCACTTATTTGGAGTGCAAAGGCTTATTTGTTAAGTGTTGTCTTCCGGGCCAAAGCCTATCCAAGCCTCTTATCCTGAAATATTTGAAATTATGTTTAGGGATAAGTTATATACATGAATATTTGGTTTTGAATTTTAAGGTTGAGGAACTCTTTAGTAGTTTTAGTGGATATGGAAAAAAATAACAATGTAGAAACAAAAACATACCATCTTTAACACTGATTCCTAAAAACAACCATGCAGATAATGTAGGAGATTACAGGCCAATTGCTTGTTGTAATACTGTATACAAGATCATCTCGAAGGTGCTATGTGACAGGCTAAAAGGTGTGCTACCAACTATAATATCGGAAAATCAGAGTGCTTTTGTGGAAGGCAGAAGCATAGTGCAAAACATTCTGATATGTCATGACCTGGTAAAGCTGTATAACAGGAAGAAATCAACAAGAAGCTGCCTGATAAAGATAGATCTTAAGAAGGCATATGATACTGTGGAGTGGGGGTTTGTGGAAGAAATGCTCTATGCTTTGAACTTCCCTGTAAAGTTCATCAAATGGACAATGGAGTGCATGACAACTACTCAGTACTCAATTGCTCTGAATGGTGGGTTGTATGGATGTATTGAGGGGAAAAGGGGCCTAAGACAAGGTGATCCTATTTCACCACTCATCTTTGTAATATGCATGGAGTACTTCACTAGAATTATGCAATGGGTAGCTACACAGGAGGGGTTTGCATTCCACACAGTGTAAAGGGTTAAAGCTAAACCACCTTTGCTTTGCAAATGATGTATTGATGTTCCGTAAAGGAGAGTATCAAAGTATTATGCTAATGTTGAGGGGATTACAAACTTTCTCTAATACTTATGGTTTAAGTACAAATGCTGGAAAATAAAATGTATACAGTGCAAACATGAATAGGCAGTGCTTGGAGAACATATGTGAAATAACAGGTTACAAAAAAGGGACTATGTCATTCAGGTACCTAGGAGTTCCTATAGTTGCAAGGAAACTGAAGGCAAGTGATTGTGAAATGTTGGTGGAGAAGCTAAGTACAAGAATACACTCATGGGGCTCAAAGAATCTGTCGTATGCAGGGAGAGTGCAATTGATCAATTATGTATTGATCAATATTCATTCATATTGGGCAACAATTTTCATACTCCCCAAGAAGGTCCTCAAAGACATTACAGCCATTTGCTGGAATTACTTGTAGGCTGGAAATAGTATATCAAATAAGGTATCACTTGTGGCTTGGGACCTTGTGTGTAGGACAAAAAATGAAGGAGGGTTGGGTATAAGGGAATGTATAAAATGGAATGAAGCTGCAGTGACAAAATATGTGTGGAATATAGCAAACAAAGAAGACAACTTGTGGGTGAAATGGATCAACCACATCTATCTGAAGGGAGAAGATTGGTGGCAGCATAGGCCATTAAAAGACAACTGCTGGTACTGGAGAAAAATTTGTGACATCCGTGACATATATGTAACTAGATACATAGGAAATGGCTGGCAATCGAGGACAGGGAAGTACACAATCAAGAGTGGCTATAATTGGAGAAGAGGAAGGCTAGATCAATGGCCTTGGTGCAGAGGAGTGTGGAATAAAATGAATGTCCCTAAACACTGCTTCATTAGTTGGCTTGTGATGAGGAAGAAACTGCTGACAAAAGATAGAACACTGAAAATGAAAATAACCAAAGATAGTGATTGCATGCTATGCGTAGGAAACACAGAATCCATTGAACATTTGTTCTTTGAATGCACATACTCAAGAATGTGCTTGGCTGAAGTGTTAAAATGGCTTGGGATGAATATACAGAACATGGAAGTGACGGGGATATGGAGAAGGATGACTAGAATTGCAAAAGGGAAAATTGAAAGATCATTTACGAAGGCAGTTCTGGCAGTAGTCATATATCATATATGGAAAGCCAGGAATGAAGCTATATGGAGGAAAAGAGTGCCTCGACCCCAAGTAGTGTTAGAACAGATTCAACATGCATGCAAATACAGATGCTTGGAGATAATACAGAAGAAGAAGAGCAAGGGAAATATGAGCTCGTTTGAAAAGTTATATAGATAGGAACAGAAACATTTTGTATAGGGAAATGATAGATTGATATATAGTGAAGGTATGGAATATTAGAAGGATAGGAGAAGGGAAATTGTATATGTGTGTTTTTGGGATGATTAAATAAAGATTTTATTTTCTACCAAAAAAAAAACATACCATCTTCTTCAGATGATAAGGAAGCTCTCAATCATTTTTACATTTGTTTGAATATTCCAAATATTCATCTGACTTTCTTCTTTCCTATTTGAAGGTAATATAGCACTAATCATACAACAAATGTAGCGTATCATATTTACTTTGGGCTAATACTTTTATTAACAATACCAAGGATCTCTTACGCATAACTATTGTATCTTAGCGTTAGTAAGGCATTTCATTACCTAAATTTTGGTATTTAGTTGTATCTGCTATTGAATCTTAAGTATGACCTTGCACTTCCTTAAGTTTAGTTATCTTCCTACTTTATGCGTGCAACCAAGTTTCAGGTATCACACACACCGAACTTCCTGGAATGCTTATGCTCAGCTTTAGTATATGGATTTGTGTTAACTAATTTATTTTTAAATTTATTTCAGGCATTATTAGGTATCATCCATGGCTCCCTTTAGTGTCACATATATAATGAAACACCTAAACCATCATATAAGTTGTATAGGGTGTTGTTCAAAGTTAGTGGCGAGGCTCGTGAAGGAGATCACACATAAAGCATTGACCTCAATGCAAGAAGAGGAACTGCAGGTAGATGAATGTCATTTTAGAAAATTTATCTACATGCCCACTGTTTCCTAGATCACACATAAAGCATTGACTCCAATGCAAGAAGAGGAATTGAAGGTAGATGAATATCATTTTAGAAAATTTATCTACATGCCCATCGTATTCTTCCCGAGATTAAACTTCGCTTATTCTTATTCATATATAGTTCAGACATAGTTGGTATTCTGTTTCTAAGAAGATAGCTTCTGGAAGACATGCAGCCTCATAGCTTAAGGAAAGAGCTCAGAATGAATCTAGCTGGTCTTGAGGTATTATGTTATTCTATTTTCGAGTGCACAAGTTAGTGACTTCTATTATGAACATAGAAATATGTATTGCATCAAGTAAACTCTAAAGAGAGGAATTATTAATTGATGAATTGCTAATATAAGTTGTAGGAGATTTACATCTTAAGATGTAGATTTTCAAAAACTATTTAGTAAAACTCTGCATGGTTGCGCTTCTAGTGACTATTGGTTAAAAGAAGTTAGACTATTCTATCTACTTGATATTAGTGAAAAGTGACTCACTTGACCTTATAATCAGTTCTTCTATTTTATTTTAGGTGCATTCTCATACTGCTTTATTTATAATTTGAAGATGCTGCTTATGGATATTGTACTATCAAAATTCAATACGTAATTTTAAGCATTACATACATGGTTAAGAATTAGAGAATAATTCTTTGGACGACTCAAATAGCTAGCAAAACGCATGTTTTGTTACATCACAATAAGGCTTTACGACTAATTTGTTTATCGATAAATCTCAGTTGCACCACTATCTCTAAGAGGTAAGAATGGTATTTCTTCGGAGTAGAGAAAGATTTTCTTTGGATTTATTGTTGAGTGTCCCTTATCTAAAATTGGGGGCATTTTGTGATATTTTGCATTCAAGAATATTTAGATGATTTTGCACTTTTCTACTTAAAGTGATCCATAGTAATTACATGCTGAATTATTTTTTCTTCATTAGGTATTTTCATTTTGTCTACACAACTGTTTTTTAGGGACTCGGATGTCATTAGCTTCTCCCATAGTCGGGGAAATGACGCATTGATTTATTCAGCAAGTGCTTAATTTGGTTGAAAAGAGGAAAATAAAGTTATTTGTTGGACTGAAGTTTCATGCCAAATAGCCAAGGTTGGTATCATGGATGCTGATACCAGAAGTGATACAATTGCCATTGCTTGAATTCCAATTCAAGAGGAATGATGCAGCCAGTTTGGAAAAAACGATTTGTTCTTGGAGTTTATAAACCTAGCTAAGCATTTATTTTCCTTTTCTTTTATGTGATAGATTAAAGTTATTCACAGAGATGCAATGCTCTAAATTGTCTAAAGTTTGCGAGTAATTTGTGAATATGCCTAAGCCTTCCATTATGTTGGGCTCATTTCTAACAAAACTTTCCAACTTTTGCTTTGATAGAAAAAAGAATTTAGGAGATGAAATCCCGATTACATTACTGCATGCCAAAATTTTATTTGAAAGAGCAAGCAGCAATATTTTCCATTTATAATTAACACCAAGGGAGGTGAATGCAAACATATTATGGTAGGTTCTACTATAAGTATGAAAATGTTTAGATTCTGCAGTGTTGCCTAAATATAAATTCTGCAACTCTACAGGCATTTCATGAGAAGTCAATTTTATTGATCCGCTACCACAACAGAATTTTGGGGTTCATATTGGAACCTTTTTGCTCCACAAAATTTACAATTCGGAACTTCTTTTAAATGTACGTAATTTTTTAGCAACAAGTCATCATTCTGTAATTCGACTTCTAAATTTGTTTTACCTGTACATGATAAATTATGACAATGTTATAGAAAGAGACAGTTATATTTTTGGCAGATAGATACATACCCTCTATGTGCAGTAGCTGCTGGAGTTGAAGAAATTCCTTCATTACATGTACCTGAAGTTGATCCTGGCATTGCAGTGTTTAATTTTTACGCATGTATAACTAATCAGTAAAGTAATTTGTATAGTGGGAACATTTATAGTACTATTTTTGGACGCTTACCTACTTCAAAGATGGACAAGCAATCAATCATATTGTTCCCTTTATCGATAATAACTGGCATATTAATAGCTTTAGAAGCATGACCTAACAATTGAAAGAAACTAAAAAGTCACTTTAATGATTGTGGATCGATGTATTCATCACTATATACTTATATATGGAGTCCAAAACTTAAATGATGCTTTTTTTGTACAAAAAGCACTTTTCTAATGTTTTAAAAAAAAATTATATTAATAGGTAATTCGCAGTATAATACTGCGAATTATCAAAAAAAATAATTTTTTTATGCAATTCGCAGTATTATACTGAGAATTGCTTGAGATGGGCCTAGCTCGTTTTTGAAATAGAGTTTCGTAGTATTATACTGCGAATTGCATTAATTCTCAGTATGATACTACGAATTAGACTGATTTTTGGCCCCACCAATAATAATTAACTGACATAACAATAATTCAAATACATAAAACGCAGTATAATACTGCATTACTTTGAAAATTCTACACCCCAAGCTCGGAGTTGCCTTATTTATAGGCGTTTCAATTTTATAAAAATTCATTCAATACTTAAACTTCAAACATACGTTCATTATTCTCTCTTCTCCTTATCAATCATTTTTTTACAATGTCTGAAGTGCCGAAAATAAGGGTTTCACTGTATTGGGGGGGTGAGGTTGTGGTGGAGAATAACTCTGTGAGGTATAGCTCACCTCCACAGTGTCATGTTAAATTGCCGCTTAATATGGAGTACGATACATTGGTATAATACTACATTTTGCGGAGTTGTCTTATCGTTCTGAAAAAGCTGAAAATCATGTTTCGTGTCAGAGAATTTTAATATGTAATTCGCAGTATAATACTACGCTTTGCGGAGTTGTCTTATCGTTCTGAAAAAGCTGAAAACCATGTGAAAACCATGTTTCGTGTTAGAGAAATTTAATATGTAATTCGCTGTATGATACTACGATCAATCTGAAATCTTGCCTATAAATAACGAGCAAATTTGAGTTATTTTCTGCGCTTAACAACAACCTATAATCGAGATTTTCCATAAAACCAAACTTCTCTTTAAGAAATGTCTCAACGACCCCTTCGTTGCCCAAAGTGCGACTGTGGAATCAAAAGCATGATGTACAATGAATGGGAAGAAGCTGGACGCCGCTACTGGGCGTGTATGAACAAGTTTATAGGCAACCCGACGTACCTATATGCAATTTTAAGGTATGGGTTGATGAACCATGTGACCAGGAATACTACAAAGACTAGGTGTATCATCTTCAAGATGTGTGTAATGGGCAGTGGGACAGAGAGCGCCGATCGAAGCAAGAAATTGAAGATTGAAGGCGAAGATCAAGGAGGTGGAAGAAGAGAAAAAGAAATTAGAAAGAAAGCTCGAGAGGATTAATCAGAGAATACTAGGCGGTCGCAACTAAGCGATGACATTTACGTGTTGATTGTTGTAGTGTATCTTCATGTTTCCTTTGTCAAGTGCTTTCATTAGTTGTACTGTTTGTTTTTGTGTTAGGTTTGTAAGGTTTGTGTTTGAGTTGTACTATTTAAGTAAAATTGCTGTTCAAACGCAATTAAAATAAAATAGTTGTTAAAAGATAGTTGTTACTATTATTTACGTAAAGCACTATTTACACAAAGTTAATACATAAGTAAATCAGTGAGTGCCGCAGCCTGTGTGCTTCAGTGCTGCTGCTAGCCTAAGTCGCATCCCCTGTCGCCCGGGCACACTATCTGGATTATTATCATCAAGCCGCCTCTTTATGTGAGGATGTGCAGCAGCAGCAACCCTACAACTGGCAGGATCGGAAGAATAGGCCGTCGGGCGGTCAGCAACCTACAAAACAAGAAGTAATCTTAGCATGTGAAAATGTATTATTATCTTAACCTACAGAATGTACTATTATTTTAAGTAAGAAAAATTTTCTCACCATGGTCTCGTCGACCTCCTGGGTAATGTATCCATGGTGTGCTCATCACCGCATGTAGTGTCCTCAAAGATGGGCTGGGACGAAGACTGCATAAGAAAGTAACAATTAATTAATGGCAGCTATTTAAGGAAAAGAAACAAATTGAAATATTAAAGTAATACAAACATACCGCCGCCAGTGGTAGATCCGCATGAACTGCCGGGGACGATGGATAACTCAACCTACGCCCGCCATCCACGTCCCGGGCCGGCCGATCCTCAGCTGCGGTAGATGGGCATGCGAAGTACTGATC